AATGCATCGAACTCATTGAAAAACATTCTAGAAGTTTCAGATCCGAAATAATAGACATTTTTGGCACTTTTTAAGCGTTTTTTGAGCGTTCTCGATCTTTATCCGACGGTTTATTCCTTATTATTGATCCAAACACTTTATACGTGCATATTTGTGATCTTCTTACGTCGAAAGGAATCAATTGAGCTCAAAAAACACGCATGTGGAATTTTGATTTTTGGCCGATATTTTTCTAAGGGTGGCGGTCGATTTTTTAAGAAAATAAAAATTTTCCAAAAAAGTCTCAAATTTCACATCATTTTCAGTTCATGGACGCGAGGAATGCGTCGAACTCATTGAAAAACACTCTAGAAGTTTCAAATCCGAAATAATAGACATTTTTGGCACATTTTAAGCGTTTTTTGAGCGTTCACGATCTTTATCCGACCATTTCTTCTTTATTATTGACCCAAACACTTTATTAATGCACATTTGTGACCTTCTGGCGTCGAAAGGAATCGATTTTCGAAAAATATCTTAAATTTTACATCATTTTCAGTTCACGGAAGCGAGCAATGCATCGAACTGTTTGAAAAACATTCTAGAATTATCCGATCCAAAATAATAGACATTTTCGGCACATTTTTAGCGTCTTTGAGCCTTCACGATCTTTATCCGACGATCTCTTCCTTATTATTGACCCAAACACTTTACAAGTGCATATTTGTGATCTTCTTACGTCGAAAAGAATCGATTGAACTCAAAAACGCATGTAAAATTTTCATTTTTGGCCGAAATTTTTCCAAGGGTGGGGGTCAATTTTTTGAAAAAATGAAAATTTCCTCAAAATGTCGAAAATTTTACATCATTTTCAGATCACGGACGCGAGAAATGGATCGAACACATTGAAAAACATGGTAGAAGTTTCCGATCCGAAATAATAGACATATTTTAAGTGTTTTTTGAGCGTTTACGATCTTTAGCCGACGATTTCTTCTTTATATTAATAATAAATAACATTAATACACGAGTAAAAAACTGATCAGCTTGTGAAAAAAATTGAAGTTTATTCTCAAATTTGTCCACAATTTTTTGACTGTTTTATTAACAATTTGGGTACTTCATACACTAAGGAAGGAAGAAAAATCCAAAGGATTAAAATCCGGACTTCGTGCTGGCCACTGTGTTTCACTTTGGAGTTTTGCAAAATTTACCGGGACCGGGACTCAGTTTACCAGAGGCATTGAACTAAGGCAACTTTCCCCATGTGAGTCATCATCAGTTCATCATACCGAAACCTGTAGGTTTCCCAAAAAATTAAGATAATTAAACTGCAAATCATTGTTTTCCCCTTATTGATGGCCACTCAATTAGGACAGTCCACCGACAAACATCCAGTTAATTAACAACCCTTCGGCATGGCCGGGAGGGTGCAAAAGGGTGGCGGGAGGTCGGACTCTTCCCAGCGAAAAAACACCCCCCTGAGCAGCAGATGTCACCGGTCGGCGTCAGGGTTGGCCGTCGTGCCCGTCGTCGCCCTGGCAACGGCACCCTGGGCGCGAGGTCGTCGCCTAGCAACGCCCAGGTGTCGCAAGGTCCAATCAACACGGACCATCTTAGGATCGATGTTTACCCTCGACCGATCGGCAGCCGGCTCGGGCGCCTTTTCAGCCCCCTCGTGTTGTCACATGCACGCACCGCGACGCTCTGAAAATACTCAAAATTGTTTATTTTTGTCCTCATCCT